CACTTGGTGACGGTTTTTCGGCTTGTCACTGAGCCCAGAGAAGGAAAAATAAAAAATAAAAAAAATAAGTGAACGTTTAATTCATAAATTCAGAATTATGATTCAAAATTATTCTCATTTTATGTGTATTTTTTTATAAGAAAAAATACTGTAAATAACCATAAATCATGATTCAGAATCAATGACGAATACATGAAACAAACGTCCCATAATACCTTAAAATCTATAGCCATGTTTGAGTTGATTTTATTTTATTTTTCACGTTTTTAAAAAATAAAAATAAAAATGAGATATAAACAGTGTTTAGCACAATTAAAGATAAAAAATAAAAATAAAAATGATTTTTTAATTTGGTATAAAATGAGAGAGAAATGAAAAACGAATTTTAGTCATTTTTCATTTTTTGTTTCTATTTTTTCCTCTCTCGAACACAGAGAGAGACATTAATTAATTTTTTATACTTAAAATAATCTATTGATAAAATTACTAAACACATTTTTAAAAATAATTTATGTCTGAGATTCAAAATATTTTCATTTCTATTTTCATACAAAAAACCAAAATCATTTTAGAACGAGTTCTAAACGCACCTTATGAATCTTAAATTTTTATTTTTTGCACTTTATTAATAATATTTAATTAAAATTTCAAAACAATACTTTTAAAATGTGAGTTCACCAATTTTCGCTCTAAAAAAACCCCATGTCTTTTGGATAAGTTTTCTTTTTTCCTTTTGAGTTTTGTTATTAGTGACAAGTACATTAATAAAAAGATAATCGTCACTTCTATTATTTTAACATAGTGTTACATATATAATGATTATATCACTAATGATGACAAATTATAATTCTTTTTAAAATCTCTTAACGGAATTTGGATTCTAAAAAGTGAAAAAAAAAAAATAGAGAGAGAGAAAAGTTGACATTGGAGTAAAACATACTACTTGTAGACCTGTGGTGCTTATATAAAGTGATGCTTAATTATGAGCAAAAGCTTAAAAGGATAAGCAAAAAGGATCTTAAGCTAATGGAAGATTGCTAAAAGATTTTCTTTAACAAAAAGACTTGGAAAAGAAAGTTACGAGGATGATTACTCAGATGTTGGGTTTTCCTATTTTGAGAATCAATGCAACGAAAAAGTTTATAGAATGTTAAATTTTGAATTAACCTCAGAAATTATCGTAGTCAATATAATTCAGTCACATATTATTGCAAAATTATAAACATGAAGTGCAAAATAGCTAGTATGTATTTTATTTATTTCTAGTAAGGCATTTGATAAAAAAAAAAAAAAAAAAAAAGAAAAAAAAGAAAGAAAGGTACAAGTGAGTACTATACCTAGTAAATTATTAGTACCATACCACTAATCTATCCATAATAGGCTATGTTAGGTTGATTATGACATAACAAGAAACAGAGATTAATACCCAAATAAACCAAGTGAGGGACAAAAAGGGTCTAATAATTGTAATTGAGGAAGGCCAGCTATGTCACAATATGTGGGTGTTTATGATGCTGACATTCTAACCACATTAGGCTAAAAGAATAATTGGGGCCCGTGCCAAAACAAAATTCCCCAGTATGCAAAAAAAAAAAATTTTAAAAAAAAAAAAAAAAGAAAAAAAAGAAAACAAGAACAAAAATCAGGATGGGTTAAAGACTGAAAGGGAAAGAAGTGCGTGGTGCCCAGATACCATTCATATTTTGCTGTCAGAACCCATGTGGGAGTGTGGCCCTTACCCCTTCATGTCCACTTAAAAGAAACCACAAAATGAGACAAAAAAGTCCCCTAAAGTTACCCTTTAATCACATGAAAGAACAACCTTTTTTCTCTCAGGCCCTTATTTTATTTTATTTTATTTTATTTATTTTAACCCTCTATACCTAAATTTCCAACTCCTATTTGTTATTCACACAAATCCGAGGGGAGACATTTTCTTTTAAATAAAAAAAAAAAAGCCAACTAGTGCCAGAGAAAGACACAACTTTTTATAGTGGTAATGCTTATGCTACAGTTTTTTTTTTTTTTTTTTTTTTTTCTTATTTTTTTTTTTTTTTTTTTTTTTTTTTTTTTTTTTTTATAGCTTTCTTGGAACAACTTTACATCATTGGTCAATTTTTTTTTTCTTGCATAATACAACCTTTCATTTCTCTGTAGATTTTACACCATACAAATACAGGTGGTAGCATAAAAGCAAAAAAAAAAAAAAAAAAAAAGAAAGAAAGAAAGTGGTAAATTACAAGAACATCATATATAACATGAGGATTTACTACTTACTACTACCATTAGGCTTTCTTTGTTGTGATACAACTTGCCGGGATGGTCCAACCAACACACACCTACAAAGCGGGGGTTACATAAAGTAGAAAAGGGCCCCACTCCCATAAATCAGTTCATCTGTTATTTCAAGTATACAATTATGTATTTCACTATTAACTAGTATGTAATAATGATAATGATGGTGATCTTGCTGAGATGTTTGCCTACAGGTCACTTTGACGTGGGTTGTGGTTTTTGGCTATACAGCGATGATTTTCTTTTTATGTGTTTCTGCTCAAATATATATATATATATAGATATATATATTCTGCACACAAGAATAGAATAGACAATTGGAATTCAATGACCAAATCATTTAATTGGTAAAAAAAAAAAAAGTAAAAACACTTGAAAAGATCAATAATGCTCACCCTGGCAAAGTGAAGATCCCCATTGCTGCCCCAATGTTACTTAACTCCATCAGTTACATTCTAGTGGTTCCATACCAAGAACAAGACCTAACAACAATCATAGATTTAGAATAAGAGACGTTTGCTTCATTGATTAGAATCATTTTCGATTTACGTGTATTTTTTGTAAGAGAAAATACTGTAGCGAATCATGAAACACGATTCAAATCATAGTTTGAATTCTCTAACCAAACATCCTCTAAATATTCCCTCCTTTTCCAAGTTATCACAGTAGTAAAAGTGTTTTCCCTAAGAAGAAAATTGTGCCAAAAGTGTACCTGAGCATTTGGAGAAAACAGATTCTGGAGAGGCTAAGTTGAGGGTAGAATTGGAAAGTAATGGGCCATTGGTCATTTCACTAGGCTCCTCTGAAGAGTTGGACAAAATAGTTGTGTGGTCAACAGCTGATTTCTTAGGAGAAGCAAAGAGGCTATCAGGAAGGATGTGCTCTATACTGCTCTTGAAAACAAAAACAAAAAAAAAAAAAAAACAAAATTAGATTACAAACAATAGTTGTGGAAATATAAAATAAAAATAGATTGAAAACAATTATATGAAAATTCCATCAAGTTTCTACCTTTCATTCAAGTCACTTTCTTCATCAGTCTTAGCTAACTCCTTGCCAGTGTCACCATTTTCCTCTCTTCCATTACTTAAACCACCATTATTCTCTGCAATAACAATATAATTGGAAAAAAAAAGTTTTTTTTTTTGCTCTTAAGATTGACCTTGAAACAAGTATAATAAAGAAAGGGAAACATAGTTAATCCAGCAACCTTCTGAAACATATTGTTCGGTCTCGTCGGGTTGAACAAAAAGGACTCGGTTCTTGGGAGAGTAAGGCAAAGCATTTGGGAAGGGAATTGAGGACCCAGAAGATAAACTGCGATGGAATTGAGCTTGACGATGATAATTATGATTCTTGAGGTCCATAAGTTGTAGATTCATCAGCCTTCTTCCGTGGAGTTCAATGGCTTGCTGATAATTAGCCCGTTCCTCAAGCTTTTTCATTAGTAACATCTCTTGTGTATTATTGTAAAACATACTTGGCCCTTCAAACATAACATCAAATAGAAAACTTTGATCAACTAATGTTCAAAACTGCTCTAAAAACTCTTCTTTTTTTTTTTTTCAGAATTGTTATCTTACCATGATGGAGATCATAGTCAAGCCCAGATGGGCTTGAACACAGAGAATAGTCTCCACTGTCCAATTGCTGTTGCTGCTGTTGTTGTTGAAGTTGTTTTCTGCAATTAGGATTTAGAATTAGCTTTTAATTTTAATAGCAACAAAAAAAAAAAAAAAGAAATCAGATAAGAGCAGTAAGAGTAAACTTTTCTCGTACTTTTCTACAATTTTTCCCTTCTCTTTATAAGGCTTAACAAGCACCCGAGAATCACAAACAAAATGTGGATTTCCTTTAGCCAAGATGAACTTCACAGTCTCTGAATACATAAAGGTAACAAATCCAAACATCCGTTTTTGCTGATATGGAATTCTCACGTCTTGAACTGGTCCATAAATGCTTCACTCCAAAACCATAAAAATCATAAACTATCTCAAAAAAAAAAATAAAAAAATAAAAAAAACCTTATAATCAAGTAAAGTAAGTACCTAAAGTAATTGGATACATCTTCTTCTCTAAAAGTGCTATCAGCTGGGAATGTCAAGTAAATTTGCCTGGAACTTGGGTTCATGATACTTTCGTTCCTCTCAAAACGACACCTCCCAAACTTCTGAACCTCCTCTCCTATCATCATTGCACCTGTTGGAGATCTATAAAAGTATAGAAGGAAAAAAAAAACTTAATAATAAAACAAATACTTGGGGATTTGAGCTGGTAATATAAAAAGTTAAATACCTTGGGGGGTCAATCTGGTGTTGCATGAGCAAACTAACAGAGTTGTTGTCGTACGGGAAAGAAGCTGCTGGTCCGGTGATGAACTGAGAGTGAGCAGCTTTTTTAAGTCTGAGCAAGTCTTGACACTGTTCAAGTTCGTTACTTGTATTATTATTATTATTTTCGAAAGCTGAATCTCCGTGGAGGAATCGGCAAGTGTTGCCGTTTTTACAGAACCCTCTAGCGAAGTACAAACAAGGTCTAAACCCGAACCCAGAATTAACATTCTCAGACGATTCGAAATACGCACTTGTTGGAGAGAGTATTTCTTCGACGAGATTTTCACTTGTAGAATTGTATAAAGAAGACCCAAAACTAATGTTTTTGTTCAAAGCACTAGCGTAAGAAAGCGGAGGACTTGAAAATGGATTGGGCTCAGAAATGAGGTTGAGAGGAGAAGAAGAAAATATTGATGACGACGACGACGATGATGACGATGATTTAGGGAGAATAGCCAAGTGAGTTTTGGCCTTGATGATGAGATTGTGAAGAAGGGACTCTGGACCAAAAGCCAAGCGGATCATCTCCTTCTCACCATAGTCTTGTATCAGAAGGTACCCCATGATTTTTGTGGCGTTTTCGGGTTCTAGACTCTGGATTCTTGAGAATACTGTTCGACTAGCTTCGTAAGAATCCATAGATAATGTCAAAAGTAAAGAAAAAGAGAATTCTGCTTTTCTAGGGAGAGAAGAAAAGATAGAAGAAGGAATAATAATAGGAGGTGAGAGAGTGGAGCGTGATCGTACTTTCTTTTTTTTTTTGGATTAATTTTGAAAAAGGTGCGATGAATCTGGCGGATTGTTAATTAGGTGGTGAAACTTTTTCGTTTTTCCCTCGTGCCCATGTGATAAAAGAGCGAGATATTCAAGTCTCGAGAGCAGGATCAGAGTTTAGAGAGAGAGAGAGAGAGAGAGAGAGGGGTTTTGGTTTGGTGGAACTTGCAAGTGTTCTTCTGCGTTAAAACTTGACCATAACAAGTTCTGGTTGTGGTGGCAGTGGGAAACTGAGCAGAAGCAGAAGCTGCTTTGGGAAGAGAGCTGAGAGACTGACTACGGTCTTTTCTCGCTCCTACTTAATTTCTCTCTCTAGATATTTTTGTCTTCACGGATTTGGACAAAAACAAGGTTAAGTGGGAGGGTTGATTCAGATCTGCTTTTTAAACTTGAAGGGGGAAACAGCAATTGTATCCGTACCAATTAGAAATTAGAAGACGTTTAGTTTATATATTAAAATTATAAGATTAAAATTATTTTTTATTTATGTATATTTTTTATGAGAGAAAATATTATAACGAATTATTAAGAGTTTGTTTAATTTATTGATTTGAGTTTTTAATTTGAGTTAAGATGTGATTTTATGTGAGAATTTTTTACTGTAGCAAAAAAGTTAGATGTGATTGTTTGTGAGAGCTTTTTACTGTAGCAAAACTCGAATTCTAAACTCGAATCAGCGAAATGAACGGGACCTAACCATGATTTGAATCAGGGTACGAATTCCTTTACCAAACACACCTTTAATGTCGGGACCGGAAATTATCAGACGCGTTTGAAATTATTTTGTTTTTTTTATAAAAATAAAAATAAAAACGTTTTTAATTTTAGATAAAAATTATTTTTAAAAATGCGTTTGATAATTTTATTAAGATATTATTTTTAGTGTAAAAAAATTCATTAATGTATCTTTTTTTCTCTCTCTGCTTGAGAGAGAGAAAATGAAAACAAAAAATAAATTTGAGTTTTGCTACAATAAAAAACTCTTAGAAACGGTTACATCTAACTTTTTTGCTACAGTAAAAAACTCTCACACAAAATTACATTTCAACTCGAATTAAAAACTCGAATCAACGAACTAAATGGGCCATAAAAGTCATTTTTTATTTCTCTCTCATTTTACACTAAATTAAAAAAATATTTTCATTTCTGTTTTTTATTTTTATTGTGTCAAACGCCGTTTTAAAAATGTGTTTATTTTTTTTCTCAAATAACGTAAAAAATAAAAATGAGATCAATTCTAAACACGACTATCGTATTCAAAACCTGTTGCTCATAAGTAAATGTAAGTCTCTCAATCGTTATATTTTTGTTAAATAAAATTCATTTATGTACTTTTTATATTCTATCACAAGTTTATTTATATATAAAAACGTTATAACCCTCAGTGAGAAACTCGAACTCAGCTCTAATCAACATAAAAATCATGGGTATTATTATCCATTAGTATTGGTAATATCTCATACAGACATACTGTTACAACTTCCTTATCGTATCGCACCGCCATCTGTAATTATTAGCACTAATTAGTAGTTTATTTTTTGGATTGACTAAAAAAAAAAAATTTGTTTTTTTTTGGGTACGTCATATGTGCCCGTTGTAATTTAAATTAGATTCCCAAAATACACATTTCTTGGCACTAATGCGCGGCCTTCCAACATGCCTTAAGAAATTAAATATAAAAAAAATGTCATGAGTAATAGTGTGTTTGGTATGAATGAAAAGTGAAAGGAAAAAAAGTGTGAGATTTTGGGATGAAAATTGATAAATTAGCTTGTTTGGTAGAAAGAAAATTGATAAGGAAAAGAAAATTGAATGGAAATTATGATTGGTGGGTTCCACTATATTTAATCTCTCTAAAAGTGGGAGAATTTTAAAAAGAAAAATGTGAATAACTACCTAAATGAAGTCAAATTACTGAATTGTCATCATTTTTCATCCAAAATTGACTCTAAAAGTTGGCGCTTTTTTTTTTTTTGGTTGGATAAATAACTTGATTCATAGTAAGCCATCAAAAGAAAACTTTGATTCATAGCAGAGATATGATTTTTGGGTTTTATACCAGGAAATGATAAACCATTTTTCAATAATTGTCTTATCAATTGCAGCCAAAAATTTAAAAGAGAGAGGATAGAAATTAGATTGGTACATATATTATAATAACAACAAATATGTCAAAATATTTTTCTTTTTTTTAAAATAAAAATTCAACTGCATTTTTCGTCACAATAATTACAATATTAATCAAGCCATAATATCATCATCATTGCATTGATAATATGTGTGTATTGTATACATAAAAGGTTTTTGTTTTGTGAAAAATTTCGTACGTTTGTATATATACATAATATAAATGGAATATATGTTTTAAGTTACATGAATTTTTCGAGTTAATTTAACGTTGAATACTGTATTATTTATACTTTTATTAGAAAAGAATATTAATAAAAAATATTTGGGCAAAAAAGTAATTACACAAATAATAATTTTTTCATATCTTTAGTTTCACTTCTAATACCAAACAAGGGAAGATAAACTCATTTTCTTTCTTCCCTATCATACTAAACAAGTCAGGAAAAAATCAAAATATTTTCTATCTTCCTAATTTTCTATGTATTATAGTTTTTCTTTCCATCTTACCAAACAGAGTGTAAATGATATCATTAACATATGGATAATGATTAATCGTATTTTAGATAATCTCGGCAAGTTTAATTTCTCTGAACTTTTTATAGTCATATTCAAGTTTCGTTCTTTCTCATTCATAGCTATTTTCTTTCTAGTGAACCGGAAAACGACTTAATCAGAACACTAATCATCCAAAGGCATTTGGCAACATAATTTAGGAAAAGTACAAAATTTGAACACTGATTATTTTGTTTATGTCGCTTTCCCTCCTTTATGGGTATTGATATTAATATTTCTAAATGGTGTGGTCCCTTGACCTTACCTTATTATTTTTGCACCAACCCCACCATAGCCACATTGAGATCAAGGTTAAATGTGGAAAAACAATACATATCTTATTTCAACGTTATTATTTGCTCCTTTCATTATCTTATGTCTTTATTGTTCTGTCTATCTAGTATCTACTAGAAAATGACTTAAACAGACAGACTACGACCAAATTAAAGGACGTAAAAAAAAAAAAAAAAAAAAAAAAAAAAAAAAAAAAAAGCAGAAAAATATAGTGCGGTCGTGGGAACGCATCAAATTGATAGGAGCCAGCGGGGTGGGATATTTGTAGGGGTGAATTTGAAAAATATTATTTTTAGAGAGCTGGTATTTAAACATCTTTTTCTTAATAACATTTGAACCTAATTTATATATAAAATTGACAAGGATAAATAATTAGACTTATAGCCCGTTTGGTAAAGAGATTCGTTCCCTTATTCGAATCATGATTCGTGGTTCGCTACAGTATTTTCTCTCACAAAAAATACACGTAAATTAAAAATAGTTATAATCACATGGTTCTAATCCATAAACCAAACGGGTATTTAATAGAGTGACATAGAGGAATACCGCTTACAAAGATTTGGAATTCAAATGTATCACTTTTGTAAAAATAAAAGCCTGACTTTTACATAAAAAAATTATTATACAGACGAATAACTAGACTTCAAAATGTATACAACCAAATTTTCACCACTGGGATTAGTCGCATGGGCCTAACTCTCAGTACAAGACTTTGGGCCGACACTCTGCGCCGAAGCATCCCCATGACTACATGAGTAAGCCCAACCCATTACGACATACCACATTAGGCCCAAAACTGGTAGTTGCATATAAGACTGGGAGCAATTAGGAAATTCAGACAAAAGTTCTCCCTCACGAGTGACTGAGCATGAAGTTTATTCTCTTTCTAATAAGATTTTCGCCATATTTTCTGTTTTTGTACATTAAACCAGCACTTAAAAACGGTAGAATTCTAAAATAATAGCACAAAACTACAGTCCCTCAGGTTCTCAGCGAAAGAAAATTTAGAGGAGAAATTTAGGAAATATGCTCCAGATACACTGCTCAATACTAAACCACAGAGATTGGGTTTGGACCATTCGCTTCTTTCTTGTCAAATCACATGACAGATAGAAATTGACCAAGAAAACAATCAAATGAATTCGTGATGCAAGTATAAGTTGAGGCTATTATATGCAGGCTAGAATTACTTGTCTAAAAGAAATGCATGGGATGAGGATATGGACTCAAAAGTGGATGATGTTTTGCTGGTTAGAACTTGCTTGATGAGGAAGAATTAAGCACAGCAATGTGAAGTTTTGACAAATGGGAAACTTTATGAGGCTAAAAAAGATTCGATTTCCGGCTCGTGGTTATCTAAGAAGTGGCATATTTTGGTTCCACAAAGGCTGAAGAAAAATCAGGCGTGTTTGAACAATTTCATGCTAAGCCAATGGAAATACACAGCAACCACAAGGACAGGAATAGTTAAGGGCACCAAGAAGCAATAATACCTGTTTCAGCGGAAAGAACTGAAGAATTAGAATAATAAGAACAACACCGTTTGTTTCATAAGTTTGAACTACAATTCAAATCCTTCTGCTGTTATGTTTTCTCGTAAAAATTTGAATTCTTGTTGAAACTTCCTGTTCAAACCTATGAACCAAATAGGCGAAATATTGGCAACTGAGTAAGGACTTTTTGAAATTACTAGCTAGTCGACAAGGAGAACCCGATATATTGGCAATTGGACTGCAAAATCCTATATACGAGACGCTATTATAGTCCCAAAAGAAGCAACAAGAACATACATGTTAATATACCGGAAACAAAACCAACATCTAAAACACTACTCATTCATTGACAAATAAATTGAGACAAAGTCATAACAGCTTATACAGGAAAGACAAGGCAAAAAAAAAAAAAAAAAACCAACAAAAGATTATCTTTGGATATATGATCAAAATGTGAATTGGGTTGCTAAAAAAAACTAATCAATCATGCTTAATGATTTTGTCAACCCAAATACTATTTCTCTAACTAAAGAATAAAACTATTTCAAATGGTTCAGAACAATTTTCTGGAATAAAGGATCATTGCCTTAAAACAATTTTAAAAAGAAAGTTTTGGACTTGAACACAACACTCTACAAAGTTTTGGACTTGAACACAACACTCCACGCTTATTATTTCTCATTAATTCAATATTTATACCGTTTCAAATATACTAATCACTTATACAGCTCAAGCCTCATGAACCGAGGGAAAAAAAAAGACATAAGGGAATGCCAAATGCAACATGCAAGCATTGAGTATGTAAATTTTATTTGAAATATAAATCTATGAGGAAAAATATTGACTTTGGGAAGAGAAGAAAAGATCCTAAAACATTACCAGTCTTTCTGTAGAGCGGAGATGATGGGGTTAGTTGAAGGAGGAAGAAACTTGGACAAAATAGCGGAATAAACGAAACCCAGAAAGAAAATGGAGCCGAAAGTGATAAAAACCCATCCCCAAAATTGATTCTTTTCCATCCCTGCGAAAGTAGAAAATAGAAACAAACGCACTTTCCAGTTATGATTGGAAATTTGAAAGGGAAAATAATTCAATTTCAGAATTTTCAACAGAGAGAGAAGAGTGTGAGTTCAAAGTAGGTATGGCAGAATGAAATGGAAGGTCGTCAGAGTTGTTGTGACTGTCGAGGCCGTCGCTAATCGCCGCCGTTCGTTATATTGTTGGAGTTGCAACATCCCACATGATTGATTATATACATTGATTTTTTCAATTAGTGGCTAATTGTCTTTCCACAATACAGTGTCGTTTTATGTTTGTACTTTTTATGTGGTTTGCATTTTGTTGGCATTCCGCAGTGTTGTAGTGGCAGAGTTTTATGTAGTTATTTTTATTTTAGTTTTTCTGTCGTTTTATTTCTGGTGGCTTGTTAATTGTCGTCGTTTGCATTTTGTTCTCGTTCTTCTGGTTTCCGATCAAGGTTTTTCTAGTTCCGCCATTTGACGTCGTTTCATTTTTTTTAATCGCATTTTCCTCCATTATTATTATCATTGAGTAAATTACACGTTGCACCCCGAGTTATTCAGTTTTAATTTTTATTTTGACAAACTGCACTCTAAATTTTAAATCAGTTGTAATTAAGGTTTAATAATTAATAGAGTTAATAAGTAACGACACGAAATTTACAATTAATATAATTTGAAAAATGATATTTTTTGCCTTTTGTGTACAAATTTTATATTTTAAACTGTTAATTTAATAACATTCGTTAATTATTGGATATTAATTATAATTAATTTTAAAATTTAAGTTGTGCAGTTTGTTTCGGTACATTGCGTAAAAAATGAATAGTTTGGGCTGCAACACTGCAATTTACTTATTATCGTTTCATTAGTTTTGTTGTCGTTTCCGTTATCCAGACCCACGCTTACACGAACCTCTCTCATTATTAACCCCTTGTAGGTATCATCTCTGGAACAAAACCCGTCGCCGTGGAGTCGTCTCGTATATAGAGAGAGAAACCCGCAGTAGAGAGCGTGGTTGGGGGAGAGAGAGAGAGAGAGAGAGAGAGAGAGAAGAACCAGCCATGGCAAACGCAGATGTTGAGGCGGTGGACTTCGAACCGGAGGATGACGACCTCATGGACGAGGACGGAGCCCCTGACGCTGACGCCTCCGCGTCTCCCCGTGCCCCTCTCCCCAAGCTCAAGTCCGCCATCACTGGCGGCGGCGCGTCATCCTCACTTCTCCCCCAGAAGAAGACCAAGGGCCGTGGTTTCCGCGAGGATCCCAACGCCGACCGCAACAGCCGCCTTACCGGCGCCGACTTCGATTCCCTCAAGTCCTCGGACGGCCTTGAGCCCCAGCGCTGTTAGTCTCTCTCTTCTTTTTATCTCTCATCAATCTAAAATATGTACGCTTGATTTTTTTCTGCTAGGGTTTTGAGCGAAATTTAGGTTTTTTGCTTGTTTTTTTTTTGGGCAAGTTACAAATCTCTCTGACCTTTAGATTTAGGGTTTATGGAATTCGAACTTTTTTCGAGATTCAAACGGAACAAAAGTGAACAGTTGAAGGAAATGTATTAGGAGAGGAATGTTTCCTTTTGAAATTGTTAATTTCTTCAAAATTACTGAATTTAGGATTCAGTACCTGGTAATATGTTAGGGTTCAGTGTTGTTTGTAATCTTGGACGGGCACAGCTATTGAGAATTTGTGCTTTTAACTTCTTGTTACCTTCCTGGTTGTGATACTCGATTTGTTCTTTGGGGCAGCAATTGAAGGTTGGATTATTCTGGTCACTGGAGTTCACGAGGAGGCCCAAGAGGATGATTTACAGAACGCGTTTGGTGAATTTGGGGAGATCAAGAATTTGCATTTGAATCTCGATCGCCGTACTGGTTTCGTCAAGGTGTGTACAAGCATTACGTTGTTCTTATTGCTGCAAATTGAGGCAATTTTTTAAATTTTAGTTTGTTACTTCAAGATTTTTTGTGCAAAATTTATAGCTTTGCGAGTTAAACGCGCTGCTATGCTTATAGTGGAGAAAATCAAACACGATTCAATGAGTGTTTGTATGAAATAGCAGGAAATGAAACAATTAACAATCTTTTCCAAGCGAGTATTTAGAGTTTTGTTACTTGAGACAATGTGAGGCAACTAATACTACTCTTCTGTAGTTTGTTTTTGTTATGTCGAGTATTTACTGCTATCTTTAGTTTCGTTGCTTGTTAATTTAATATCAATCTTTCTTTAATGTTTGATACTTGTTCTTTTCGTGGGTTAACTTGGAACTTTTCTCTATGAGTAGGGGTATGCACTTATTGAATATGAGAATTTTGAGGAAGCACAAGCTGCAATATCTGGAATGAATGGCGCTGAATTTCTCACCCAGACTGTCACTGTGGACTGGGCCTTCAGCAATGGCTCTTTCCTCGATAACAGAAAGAAGAACACAAGGTTCGCCTTCTAAGTCACGAATCTTTTAACTATAGTAGATGATCTCTCTCATTTGAAAGGAAAGATATGGCTCATCTTAGCAAGCAGAGTCCTTACCTGTTATTATTATATTAATCTAGAAAATCAATATAGTATCTTGGGTGTTATTCCTTATTTGTAAACATGTTTAGATGATCTTTGAACGTATATCGGGGACCCAGTTTACCTTGTATATGTGCTAAGCGTAACACATTGATCTATGCGAAGCTAAAATCTAACTTGAATGAACTTTTGTGCTTGTGTGGAGCTGAGCTTGACACGTGGGCTTTTGATAGTTGGATGCCTTTGCTGGTAGCTATCTCTGCATTGATTTGCAGTGGAGTTGCAGGCGTTCTGGTGTTTTTATATCTGAAATTCCTAATTAAATAAACGCAAGCAAATTTGATTTTTGAAAACTTAATGTGATAAGTTAATTAGAATTCTCCAGTGAACCTTCTGTTTTGTCATTTGTTATACTTAGTTTGGTGGAGGGCATATGGACTAAACACAATTATTTTGTTTTGATATTTGAAAATTTTCAGGCCGCTAAGAGAGCGTCGCTCGAGGAGTCCCAGGAGGAGATATTAATTTGATGTATTTTTATTGTGAGGAAATGCGGATTCTCAATGAGGGGTTCAATATCTGTACTATTTGAGTTCAAAAGGTTTAGTCAATGCTCGCAATTCGCCTGTTTTTATGGTTTCATCTCTGTTTCCTTTAGGGTTCGCTAGAAGATGAGTTCCTTGTTACTGATTTGTTTCAATTAACTTGGGGATGCTTTAATGGTGTGGTTCTGATTTTAAAGACACCAGTAAAGATGAATGACGATTTTGTAAGATTGACGTAGATTTTGCCTTAATTTCATCTTCCTGCTTCTCATCGTTGTATGTTTACTTGTTATGAAAGTCTTATTTTTATTGTATTTTGCCATTGCAACAGTTTGTTAGTGGTTCATGAAAATCGATTTTTGTTTTTCCCTCAAATGAACATGAATTTAAACTCTTGGTATCTCATAGAAACTTGAAGAGAATGGTTGTATTGATTCCTTGGTTTGGACTTTGGAGTATTACAAACTTATGGTTGTATAACGAGTTCTCCCAGAAAAAAAAAAAAAAAAAAAAAAAAAAAAAACACCAGCCAGCAACAACAGAAAGGTAAGTTGGAGATTACGACCAAAAAAAAAAAAGAGGAAGAAGGAGAAAAGAGAGAGAGGGTGGTGCTCCAAATTCGCCAACGGACAACATTATCTGTGCTTATTTTGGGGCCTTGTAGGGAGGAGGGAGGGATGGAACTTGGGTAGACGTGCAAATAATCATTCTAGCAAAAGTATAAACGTAATTTGAAAAGAGGTGTTTTAAGAAAAATACTCAGAGATATTAACGATGTTAAACACCATCATTAATAAAATATGAACTCTTTTTGTAGGTTTAAGTACCATCACTAATAAAATATGGAGTCTTTTTATAAGTTTTATATTGTCAGACCCATGTTTTATTAGTAGATTGTGTTACCGGTGTCTTATAATAATGCTCTATTCTAATGTGCGTGTTACAAAAAAGAGTGGCCCCTGCTGAAGTTGATGCCTGATGGTATATTCTGAAGTACAACTCAATGGGCCAAGACGGTAAATGATGTTTTGTGAGTATTTTTGATAAATATTTTTTAAAATTGTATGACTCGAGATTTTTTTAATTCTTAATTTATAATTTTTTTAGTTAAATAATTAAACTAATAAAAGAGTATTTATAAAGAATAATGGATAAAAGTCTATATTCATGCACTTTCAGAGATAAATTCTCTATTTTTTCATGTTTTTTTTCTTTCTTTAAAAAAAAAAGGAAAAATTCTAATAAATAGCATGGAACCTTTTGTGTCGTCTTGATAGTTGATATAATGCCGAACGGCGTATTGTTTCTTTGTACAATGATCGTAACCAAGTGTTGCTCTCTGAATCTCGTCTTCCAATACAGCGTGGAAGGCAAACAAAAAGCTATGTATTCTATGTACAGTGTTTAGTCCACTCGTAAGGAACCGTGGAGGCTTCTTTGTATTTCCTTATGGTTCTGAAATGTTCTTCAATGTTCTTCGGCATTGAAATACTTATGTTTTGTCTTATGATGCCACGGCAGTCCAATAACTCTCCATGCATAAGCTTGTCGGAGTGCCTATTGTGCGAGACCATGCCCAATGAGTGCCCTCCATTCGTCTCAATTCCGCCAACTGCAAAGAGCTAGCAACATTAGTGAAATTCTTTCTTTATGAAAAATATTAGGAGCGTTATTAATGTTAAGCACCACAATTAATAGAAAGTGGTTCTATCTGAGCGTATGTTGCGGGATCCGTTTTTAATTAGTGTGTGATGCTTTTTTACACGTTGTTTAACTAAAAATAAATTTCGATCCCCTATAAATTAGGACGACCGAGTTAGTTAATGGATTCAAAGTAGTTTCTTACCCTGCCATCTCTCAACTCAAAGACTGCTGAATTGTATGACTCGAGATTTTTTTAATTCTTAATTTATAATTTTTTTAGTTAAATAATTAAACTAATAAAAGAGTATTTATAAAGAATAAAGGATAAAAGTCTATATTCATGCACTTTCAGAAATAAATTCTCCATTTTTTCATGTTTTTTTTCTTTCTTTAAAAAAAAAAAAAAGGAAAAATTCTAATAAATAGCATGGAACCTTTTGTGTCGTCTTGATAGTTGATATAATGCCGAACGGCGTATTGTTTCTTTGTACAATGATCGTAACCAAGTGTTGCTCTCTGAATCTCGTCTTCCAATACAGCGTGGAAGGCAAACAAAAAGCTATGTATTCTATGTACAGTGTTTAGTCCACTCGTAAGGAACCGTGGAGGCTTCTTTGTATTTCCTTATGGTTCTGAAATGTTCTTCAATGTTCTTCGGCATTGAAATACTTATGTTTTGTCTTATGATGCCACGGCAGTCCAATAACTCTCCATGCATAAGCTTGTCGGAGTGCCTATTGTGCGAGACCATGCCCAATGAGTGCCCTCCATTCGTCTCAATTCCGCCAACTGCAAAGAGCTAGCAACATTAGTGAAATTCTTTCTTTATGAAAAATATTAGGAGCGTTATTAATGTTAAGCACCACAATTAATAAAAAGTGGTTCTATCTGTGTGAGCGTATGTTGTGGGATCCGTTTTTAATTAGCGTGTGATGCTTTTTTACACGTTGTTTAACTAAAAATAAATTTCGATCCCCTATAAATTAGGATGACCGAGTTAGTTAATGAATTCAAAGTAGTTTCTTACTCTGCCATCTCTCAACTCAAACACTGCTGAATCTTCAGAAAAAGGAATTGGTCGTATAGATGCTACCTATGAACAAACAACACATTAATCATTTGTTATAATTATATCACAACAACAACAGGTGAGTATTACTGCAGACAAGTACTAACCTTTGGGTCACAGTTTTTGTTGGCATCACTAAGGTTTTCATCTTCTAGCTGATTTTCCACGTATGGGAAACCACAGTTTTTCCATTTCCATGTCGTTTGATCCATGTACCTTTGATATACATTCCCATCTGAACCAATCAAAAACAGTATTTTGCCTTCAAAGGAAGGCCCTGGAGAACCAACCAACATTACACCTTTATTTGGAGCTCCGTGTTCAACCCAATTCCAACCATCCAACGAGCTCCAATGATATTCGACTAATCCACCATCTTCGGAAACCATGAAAAGCGAGCCTGTTAGGGACATTGATGAAGACCTCATAGCAGTTCCTGGCAATCTGGACAGAACCAAATGCTGAGACTGGTAATGCTCGTGCCAGAGTTCAGTCACTTTGTTGTACTGATATAGCCGACCGTTTGTTCCAACGACGAACACTATGTTTTCCCTGAAAAGTTCCTGATCTACTATGCATGCAACTTTAGTACTTGGAGGCTTTTTGCAATCTTTCCATTTGAATTTCCTCAAAGCAACCTACAGAACAATTCTTAGTTATTAGTCTCCGTCTATATTTTTACTTCTCTTGGATAACTAAATAGAAGAAATAAGTGGATACTCAATTCCTTTTTTCTGGTTTTGTTTACTTACTGTGAATTGTAGTAATCTTCCATTCTTGCTCACAAAGAAGAGTGAATCTTCGGCTGTCACTTTAGTAGCTCTACCCGGCATTCCATCCCAAGGAGGGCCTCCAATCACTTGCCTGCCTTTCCTCAAAGCAGTGCAATTTATCCATGCTAGTTCACTGCTACTCCTCTCCCTTATTAGTAAACTCCCGTACGCGTCAACCACATACAAACTTCCATTGTAGTTTCCCACTGCGCCTTTGATAGCCGTGGCATGCTCATGCCTCAGCCATATCCATCCATTTTCAGTATAAAGATATTCGAAAGTAAAACCGCCATCCGTTATGAAGAAAAACGATCTCCCTCCTTGCATCACTCTCAAACGAAAGTTTGCCTCGATCCAATTGTCAAAGAAACTATATTCATCCGAAGATTGTGTTGCCTCATTGGCTGCTACATTTGGTAATAAGTAATCTTGCTGTTGGCTTCCCTTCCTTCTTCTTGTCACTGATCTTGCTGTTCCCGAGTCATTGGGCTCATCTTTAGTGCCCATGATGCAATTTGTCGGTCCGCGTTCTTCAGTGCAGTACTCGCCATTCCATCCTTCAGTCTCTGGAGCATCTAATATTGACCATTCATATTTCATTGCTGCTTTTCTTCTAACATTGATTTGGTGAGTTGGGCCCGCATTTTCGCCGCCAACACCTGAAAGATGCAGCTCTGCTAGTCTTCCATCATCCAGTGGGAAAAGTATTCTTCCAAGTTGAAATTGTTGTCCAGCAATGCCTCTTGCAGCTTTGGCATGTGGAGGATGCATATGACTCTCCCATGTTTCTTTAATTTCATTTTCTTGAGCAGTACCTGTCCTCAAGTGAAATACCAGTTCACAGTTCAGTATAAATTACTACTAAAATTGTTATTTTCATTCATGATCTATAGACATAAAGTCATGCTGTTTACTTGATGCCAAAAACAATTCAAGGATATAATGTCAACAAGAATTAGTTTCCCACTAATTCTTACTAGACTCACCTGCTTTCTTTGATATTCGGTATTCGAAAACGGACCCAGAAGATGTAGTGAAAAATAATGACAAGAATTTATCATTCAAGTCATCTTGTACTACTTGTGTGATAGATGTTAGGTACTGATCTTTTGGACTTCCATGGACCACCCATTTCCACTTCCTTTGGTGTAACCTTCTCTCTACCAAATTACCACCCTGATAATGAAAAAAAAAAAAAAAAAAAAATCTTGTCATTAGTCAGATATTATCAGATTATTCTCTTCACCATTGTCGAAGTTAATTTCACTGCTGAGTCTAAAACTCTCTTTGATTCCTTTCTTTCTGCTCAATTATTCCTTCATCCCATCCTAATAAATTCACTTGCAGAATCAGAATGTTTACTTGATACTAAAAATAGGCGTTACCTTTGTTAAAAGAAAAAGGGATATGGAATTGTCTCCACTCAAACCATGTAAAGTACTCCCCTTCATTGGTTTAAGAGAAGCATCTTGAACTGTTCCTTCCCTCCATATATGCTTCTTCCACCACGGTTTCGAACTCCTATCGTATTCATAAAGACCACCGATAGAACTGCAAGGGAAGGTCACTCTTTAAGCAATTCTTTCAGATGTGAGTTTGTACATATAAACACACAAGAGAGGAGAGAGGAATATCACCACCTTATGGTATAGACTACTTCTGTTCTTGCAGCACCAGCATCAGCTATTGCTGCAACATTAGCACCCGGCGGTTGGCCATGGTTTACCCATCTGTTCTAAATTTATAGCAAAAAGAACTCAAAGTTTTTGGAGTGAAATTTAAATATTAAAGACTCAAAAACAAATTTGAGGGAGAAGAACTAGAGCCAAATGCTTAAGTCTTACCTTGGAGGTTCAACCTCAGCAAGTTCTAATAATGTCCCATTCTTAGTGCAGAAATAAATTCTCCTGGCAGACAACGCAGAAAAAAAATCAAGGAATTATTAGAAGAGAGACACAAATTTGCCAGGAGTTTCTTCAGTGAAGGAATTTGAGATTATTCCTTGCCATGTAGTTTCACACTCTCAAGTTGAAAATGGTTTACTCACTCTCCATCATGGGAAACAACACCAGATTTGATCAAGACCTCAGAACCTTTTTCTTCTTTTTCTGCACCTAGATCGAGTGTAGGTATAAACACCACCCAAATTGGTTGGGAACTTTCACTTAGTTGCATCTGAAAGGACAAAAAGAACAGAATAGGAAAGAGAGATAAAAGGGCAAATCAGCCCATAGAAACTATAAAAGTAATCAAGATGCTATTTCAAGACTTGCCAGTATTCGATATGTACACAAGGAAAAAGTAACCAAATAAGGATCATCACTACAGAAATCAAGAAATGTCCTGGTCTGACTTAAAAATAGTTATTACAGTGTAGTGTTTAATACGACAAACTATGTAGTTGATTAGATGATTGGTGATTATTAAGTTCACACGTCTAAAAATATTCTCTGCCTCTCACAGTTAGGGAATCAAATCAAAAGCAGGAAAAGAAACAAAAATCACTAGAACATATCATACAGTTGGATGTCAAGCAACGTAAGATGTAACTGTTGGATTGTCGGTACCTGATACAGATTTCCTGCTTCAGAAAGAGCAAGAATTGTGTGGTTGACAATAAAAACAGAAACTGCATGTTCTGCTGATATGGGCAAATCATGAGGTGCTATCACCCACTGAACACCATTCCAAAACCTCTCATATATTGACCCGCTTTCGCCGATGACCCAAACGGAAGTCTCAGACATCTTAGTCAAAGAAACTCTCTTTCTCATGGGCAGAACAAACCCCCCAGAATTCCCCTCTTCTGAACTCTCCTTTCTTCTTGCACCGTCATCATGATCATATTCTCTTGATGGTTCTATGGACCCCAGTTTAGTACAGTTATCATCAACACAAGAGATCAGATCATAAGGCAATTTAACTTCAACCCAAGTGTTGGTTTCCTCTTTGAATTCCCAGAACCTATCAGTTTTCTGCTCAAACTTTCTGGTCTGTCTATGGAAGAAATGATGCGGGCACCATGAGACGTCGGAGCCAATAACAAGTGAGAAGCTTGCTGACAAGAGGACCCAGATGAAAAATATTAAGTGGAACATGGACATGGTGGCTACCTGGAGAGTCAGATATAAAGGGAGAGAGGACAGGGGAAAATAACAAGAAAAACAAGGCCTGAGTAAACAAACTTAATATTTATGTAAATCACTCCAAAGAGAAGTTTGGCTTGTTGCTATATTCTGTGGTGTCCCCATATGGACCATCGCAAATAAATTCAACTGTAAACTTCTCAATAGATTAACTTCCATAACCGGAAAGAAGGACAATATTGATTTTCTCTCTCTTCTTGGCCTTCCTTAAGGGCCCATCTTGGAATATGGGGTAGTAGTTAACAGTTATTCCAGAGAAATATATAATTTCTTCTGAAATATGATGAGCTTCTGTTTTTTTATTCTCAACGGCTGTAATAATTACAAGGAAAAGTCAGCCTAAATTACCATAATCTCTGGGATTAAACTCACAAAAGAGGTAAAGTTTCTCTGATTAGATATCTTAAAGGTCCTTTTTCTGATTAAAAAAAGGCTTTTTCCTGTAGAATTCATGGGAGTTGGAAATGCTTTTCTTACCTAATTCCAATGACTTTATGACAAAACTCTTGTTCCATGCCCCATATATATATATATATAATATTTTGTAAATTAACCTATATGAAAGCTACATTAAAATGTAACTGCTAGATTTTATTTTCCTAAAGTTTAACCTTTATAATGAAAATCCTGCACTAAGTCGATTCCATCAAAAAGAATATAAGTCCAATCAATCTCTTTAATTTTCTGATCACGGCTCATTTTCAGCCGTCCGATGTTATTAGTCATCGTTGTCTTTGTAGACCCTACTGTACAAGTTGAATCTTTACTCAAGAAAATAAAATTGAAGTATGACAAAGTTTATTGGGCACGTCCTTGATGGGGTAAAGATGTACCAAAACAAAAGTATGAAGGCATTTTCACAAAGAAGATATTATTATAACCCCTGCTTTTATAGTCAATGGAGTTTATGAAACGCAAAGGATTAATGTCACCTTCGTTATCAACAATGGCCCACTGATGGTGGCCTTTTTTTTTTTTTGATTAAGAGCTATCTTTCTCCATTATTACACAGTAACACTCCCATATCTATCAAATTATTAGTAGATTTTGGTTCAACTGTGGTATCTTCATTAAATTATATTGAATTTATATACTATTTGATATAATTCTAATGTGATGTTTTAGTTAGTATTCTATCAAGTATCAAAATTTACAGAGTACTCTTGTTCAATCCCATAGGGTTGAGTCTTAACATCTCTCCAATGGGGTGGGGCCCACTGGGTGGGTTGTATCCCATTTTTTAAAGAGAGAAAGAGGGAAATAGGCCAAGACTTGAATTAAAATTAATAGGCCAATAATTTATATAAGTTAATAAATATGCCAAATTATTATTTTCGTCCATAACTTGTCTGGTTATGAACCATAACATGACAAGTTATTGTCCATAATTGTCCATAACTTGTCTGACTATGAATCATAACTTGACAAGTTTGTCCATAACTTATCTGATTATGAACCATAACTTGACAAGTTATGACCTATTAATTTCTATAACTAAAAATTAGCCTATATACTTTCTTAAGCTTTTCATATTGGTCTATTTTCTACTATTTCCCTTTTTCAAAATCTTATAAAATTTTCAGAAAAAAAAATCCTATAAATTTTGTATAAATGATACAAGCATCAATAATATGATCAATCAAATTGGAAGATGACACGTCTTGATTTTGATAATAGGAATGAAGTAGGGTCCAAAGAATAATATGGCATAAGTTGAACGTGTGGTGGGTTGTGGATTGCATCTTGTTGTGTGTGGAATCTTTATGATCATACCGGGTCAATCGGCCGAAAGATTCTTGCTTTTAATATGCATATTTATATTATGACTGCTGGCTAAGAGAATCAAATCTTTCATTCTAATTGTATAATCACATAAATAATGTATGTAGGGGCTTAATTGACTTTCTGATTTTTTATTATGTTTTTGATAAACCATTTTAGAGATTTTTTTAAAAAAGAGACCCATCTGATTCACGCTTTTGAGGCAATCTAACTCACCCCCTTTGATGAGAGCGACAGTTTTGGTATCGAAACTTTCTTTCCTTCATTATTTGCTTGCCATATTGTAATTATAGTTCTTTTTCCCTTTGGGGTCCATGAAGTAATGGAATTTCAGTTCCGTTATTTAAACCAAAAGAAAAAAAAAATATATATATATACACACACACACACACACACAAGTGAATCATTTGGTGATGAAAAACTTCTGCCAAATTTAATAATAAGTGCTTTTATGAGTCAAGAGATTAAACTCAAATAAAGGTGAAACAAGCTTTAAAAAAAAAAAAAAGCGTGACTGATGTGACGTTTAGTTTATGGATTAAAATCATAAGATTAGAATTATTTTTGATTTACGTGTATTTTTTATAAGAGAAAATACTGTAGCGAACCATGAACCATGATTCGAATCGGAGTACTAATCTCCCAACCAAACAACTCCTGAGAAGACGTTTAGTTTATGAATTAGAATCGTGAAATTAGAATCATATTCGATTTTCGTGTATTTTTTATAAAATAAAATACTGTAGTGAATCATGAACTATGATTCAAATCATGATATGAATCTCCTTATCAAACGTCTCTTGAATCTCATATAAAATTAGAGGAAAATAAAAAAAGCAACAAGAGATTAAACTCAAATAAAGGTGAAACAAGCTTTAAAAAAAAAAAAAAGCGTGACTGATGTGACGTTTAGTTTATGGATTAAAATCATAAGATTAGAATTATTTTTGATTTACGTGTATTTTTTATAAGAGAAAATACTGTAACAAACCATGAACCATAATTCGAATCGGAGTACTAATCTCCCAACCAAACAACTCCTGAGAAGACGTTTAGTTTATGAATTAGAATCGTAAAATTAGAATCATATTCGATTTACGTGTATTTTTTATAAAATAAAATACTGTAGTGAATCATGAACAATGATTCAAATCATGATATGAATCTCCTGATCAAACGTCTATTGAATCTCATATAAAATTAGAGGAAAATAAAAAAAGCAATAATGGGCGAAAGATAATGGAGAAGAGAAATCTATGTGGCTAACCAAAGCCTTATTGGTTGTAGAGCTATTCCCACGTCAGTAGGATGAAAATCCTAAATAAATTAGTGCCTCGCCTTGATGTTGCTTTTATAGCTATCCAATTCAATTTAAAAGAAGAACAGAAAGGAAACTAGAAAAGACGTGACAATATGATTGCGAGATTCTCAACTACAATGCCACTGAATCTTCAATGGTTGGTCATTTGAAAGGGAAAAATCAATTTTTACCAAAAGTCAGTCGCCAACTTAAACAAACCACCTTGAGATCATTGTAGTTTTGTGGGGAAGGGATATGTGCCATTCGTTAATCAATACTACTTTCCTTCAAAAAAAAAAAAAAGTTGTAAAATACTTTGAATTGATTGTAACGAATGGAGAGAAAGGGGGAACAAAGGAACTGGGTCTATGATTATATTGAGAACCCTCAACCTTTGATTTCGCTCTTGATGTCAAAGTACAAGATATCTACTTTTAAGTTTTTACTAAAAGGATATCTACTTTTTAAGAAATTTTTTTCTTTTTCATGTGACATGAATGAAAGTATAACACATTGCTCAATAGGGAGAAAAAGAGAAAAAAAAAATGAGATTAAAATGTAAGAAGCTTCTTTAATAGGATTAAAAAAAATGAACTATTAAGAGTTTTTTATTTTTATTTTTAACTGTTAAATTTATATTCAAAAATGTTATCTTGTATATTTTTTTAATTTAATGTAATTTTAACCAAATTTAATTATAGGGAGAGCAACCGAAGAAAGTCCCTAGAAATAAATACTTATTCTCTCTTTATGGACAGGACACGCTTATCTATTTGCCTACGGGGTAATGAAAATGTTACTTTGTGATCCATTGGCCATTGCAGCATCTCATTTCGTAATGATGAACTCGAAGATAACTTTAACCAGTTTTTATGTGAAACACATAGCTGCTTTTTGCTAAAGAGAGTTTCTATGGTAAGTGTTGGGAATTAACCCCAGAAACCTTCAAACTCCAATTACCAATCAAGAACTCGATTTCCAGAGGAAAACCTAAATCACAGATTGCACAGAGAAAAGAAAATCACAATCAAGAACAGAGAAGAGAAAGAGAAGAGAACGAATATGCACACACACGATTTACTGAGGTTCGGTCAAAAAAAACCTTGACCTACATCCCCGTTGAGCAGCAGTTTGCTCGTTGGCTTCTCCACTATGATCAAAAGAATGTATACAACAGATTACAAGAACTTTCTCTCACTAAGTTCTCTCTCTCTACAGTTACAACGAAAATTCCATAAGTGTTAATTCCTTCCCAATATCCCCTTTTATACATGTACACATATAATGTAGATAATGGACTTGTAACTACCACGTCACATAATAGACTCTTGAGATATATCCATTTGGAAGCCACGTGGATTACTTGGGCAATTAATCAACAATTCTCCACCTTGTCCAAGTAATTTGCGAAATATATAGCTGCTGCTCGATCACCGGGGTCATCCTGAATCAATGTGAAGTAAGTTCAAGCAATGCTTGAACTTTGGTGATGCCAGTGCCTTAGTAATCATATCAGCTGGGTTCTCTTCAGTAGCGACTTTCTCCAACTGAATCTCACCATTTGACAAGATGTCCTGAATGAAGTACAGCCTTACGTCGATATGTTTAGTCCTCTCGTGGTAGACTTGGTTTCTGCACAGAAGAAGGGCACTCTGGCTATCACAGAAGACCTTCACACTATCTTGAGCCATTCCCAGTTCTTCAATGAATCCCTTCAGCCATATTGCTTCTTTGATTGCCTCTGTCACAGCAATAAATTCTGCCTTTGCGGTTGAGAGAGCTACCGCATGTTGTAAATTTGCTTTCCAGCTAATTGTACAGCCATATAACTGGAATGCATAGCCTGTAAGTGACTTCTTATTGTCCAAGTCTCCAGCATAATTTGAATCAACGAATCCAG